TTCCTAATAAGCCTCAAAAAAGAAAATTTCATCAAAACCAGCACTTTCCAACAGCTAAAGTTGTGTTGCTTAAAGTCCAAGTGGAATGGCAAATAAACTGAGTTACAAACTTTATCGGATCATCGCTGATAACGCGTATGCGGGTCTAAAAAATTAATAAATTGCTAAAATTTAATTTAAGTTAACACCGTTTTACTTTAACAGGAAATACTCAGTCCTAGTTTACTAAAATCCCAAAAATGTATATTCATTAAAAATCATTGCGTGCGTTTGACAACATCTATGTCACACAAAAAGTTCTACAATCTTTACAATCGTTAAGATCTCCTTATTTTAAGAAATTTTTCTACCATTTAAATATAAAAAAAAAAAATATGTTGCAGCATCAAAATCGCATTGCCAATGCATCTTGTAAAAATATCAAAAACAAGCAGAAAAAGCAAATTTAAAAACTTATAAAATACGTACAAGCGAAACTTCTCCTCAACAATAGACTTCTGCTTTATTTATGGTTAGATGCATATATTTTTGCTCTTAGAAAGTCGCAACGCCGTCAAGAGCGCACGAATACCTTTCACACTAATGCATGAAAGAATAACAAAAGCGAGAAAACATAAAAGCTGAACGCAAAATAACTGTCTACAAAGTATTTTGTTTTCTTTCTTTCTAAGTTCAAAGTACATCTTAGGCGACATAAAAAATTTACATAGCAAATGAAATGGGGTGCGAATGCGCCACACGTACACACCAACTCGCAAACGAGGCTAAGTGAAAAGTGAAGCAACAGCAGGTGCACACACACAACAGCGAATGACATTGTCGTGTACCTTTGGCAACATCTTGCGCGCGGGAGGGTGTGAATTTGCTGATACGCTTCACTCTTTGCACATCGCACTTCGCACTTTGCAATCTTTTTAAAAAAGCGAAAACATACCAAAAAGTCCTATACATTTTTTTTCTTCCATGAAAAAAAAAATTAAGCAAATTTTTCTCCTCTAAAAGAAAATAACTGAAAACCTGCCGCAATATACTTTGCAATTCGCCAAGTCTTTTTCACATTAATCATAAACCCTCTTCAAGTCCGCCCACCTGCTTCCAATCTAATCGACGCATAAAATTTGCGAACACTGCTGAAAGTACTAAAAATAGGTTCCGCACAACCAACAAATTTCCCAAATTTTGATTGATATATGTATTTGTGAGATCAAATGCCAATATAAACATAACAGCCTACAATAAAACAATATAATAACTATCAAAAATATTTTTGTATACATAGATATATATTTAATAGGTACGCATGAACATAGTAAGTGTGCATACTACATACGCATGACGCCGAAGCCTAACTACTGATGACGGATAGTGACAGTGATCCTATGACACGCTGCCGCTTTGACGGTGACATTGAGGTTCAGCGCAGAGAATTGTATTTGTCCAACACTGACGAGAAAGTGTGTCGCACAATAAAACAGCAATACAACACAATAACAGCCAATAAAATGTAAATCCCAACAGCACGTAAAATGAACTAAGTACCGAACTTCATACACACGCTCTAAACATATTAGTCGCAAAGTGGGACTTTCGACGAAATGGCAACGCTGCGAAGAAAATTAGAGGACCTACCGCAACTTCGGACGGCCAGCTTGGCGAATGTCAAATTTCTTCAAAAATCCACCCATAAATGTAAAAGAAAAATTTCTACAATACTATTTTTAAGCAGCCGAAACTGTTTCGCAGCTTTGTATTTGCAATAATTGCCACCTTTATCAGAAGAAAATTTTCATTGAAAGAATTTACTTTTAAGTATTTTTAGCGCTTTTAACTCATAAAATAATGTTTGCTTTCACCAGTATGCAGAGATTTTTCCCCTTTCCATCAGTATCAAAAAGTTATTTTGACTGAAAAGTGGAGTTAGCAGCTTTTTCTGCGGTGACGACAATATATATATAATGAAAACTTTTAGTCTATTTTTATTTCTAAAATATGGTCACTGTATGTACATATCGCACACCACCTTCAAAAGGGGCACAGCTCAAAAATCAGAACTGAAAATACAAATAATTGCTTTGTATTGCCCTTTTGAAGCACGTGTGCGATATATAGCCCATGCAAATATTGCTCATACGCCTCCTCAGCACCGACACGCCAACATCAAAAACTATTTAGTTGTATTTATAGAATGCTATAAACAACTCTAAACAGCAACAACTAAACAACAACAATAACAACAATGAAATAAATGCAATACACCGAGCCCCAAAATTGCAACAACTGAAATAAAATATCTAAAACAAAAGAGGACTTTATGCAAACAAAGTAAAACAAAAAACAAAAAATGTACTTATGTACTTAAATCCTTAAAACAAATACAAACAAAGCACATAAAAAGCCAAAACAAAGTGAGTAAACCACATTTAAAAGGAAAATATGCTAAGCAATAATAATATAGCAAGGAACAATAAATATGTACTCAAAATGTCTGTGCTGCCAGAAACGAAAATATTTATTTTACTGGGTGCAAATCCCCACTTTCCGCATGCCATTTGGTCATTTAACAGTTCCACATCACAACAGGCAACAGGCCAAACAAGTATTGTCTAAAATGTTGCTGTCTACCTCTCGGCCACCCGAACAGCGGCGACTTGCCACTTTTGTTTGTCGAGCTAAGCACCACATAGTGTGAAAGACAAAATGTTATTGTTGGTCTATACAGCAACACAAGTGTGCCCTTACAACAAACGGTTTACAATTTAAATAAATACGAAAAAAAATTAAAAGTGAAGAGCCGGAGATAATTTAACAACTAACTATTTTCGAAGAACTGATTTTCTCCATTCAGGCCTCTCCCACTGGATACCTGGTCTAGAAAGGCTATTGAAAAAATACCCATAAATTTCTACCAAACCTTGAAACTACGAACTGATCTCAGGCCTACAAGGCCTGTGTGGATGTATCCAGAGTTTTCGGAGGATAAGCGTTTCAGTTAAGTATGTAGCCGAGTAGACTGGAAAGGTATTTCACTCAGTCACAGAGTCCTCGTACCTTCCTACCTACCTTAACAGATCATAACAGGAGTAACAGTTATACCGAATAATTTAAAAACGTTCAAGTAGTCTTGTCACTTGGTTCTACAATTACGACTTCAGTTTGGGCATTTTCAATTTATCAAGTTTCGCTAAATATTCATACCAGGTGCAGAGAGATATTGAACTCGGCATTGCCATTGTGTTCAATAGCGCTCTTGCTTTCGTTTGTCCAGCCAAAGCAGGCGAATGGATTCATCTTTTTACTTAATTATCATGTCTACTTAAAAAAACGAATCTCAGTCAGAAGAAACTTTTGGTTTCTATTCATGTCACAATCTCGTTTTCTTTGCAGATTGAAGCGATAGTAAGCGCCATGTAGATGGACTGTGGGGATAATAAAAAGGCCGAGCCGGTCCGCATGCAGAAAGGTTTTCTCTACAGTATCCCACCTATGTTTATGGGTAGGGTTTTATTGCTCACATCGCCACTCGCATTTAAAATTTTGATTAACTTTTATTTTTGCAGGCTTTTATCTTGTCGAGTAGCGAAGCAACTTCTAACCCGATTCAGCGTGTTGCTTTCAAAACACGTATTCAAAAGGCATTTTCTGAGTATGACTTTTTATTCTAACTTTCCAACGGTATCGCCCTCAAAAGCATAGGTGAAGGAAGGCACCACTTTTTGAAAGCTTAATAACAGCTTCGTCGATTCATCCAAGGATCAACGTAACAGGAATTGTTCTGTTTATATTTCAACGAAGATATATGTTTATGGACACCACCCAAGCGGTTGCAGCATTCAGCGCACTTACAGGTTTATCGCAACGAATTTTACGAGTAAGCTTCAGTGAGGTACCCAAAGTCTTTCTGCGCATTTTGGTGATTTAAAATTTCTATATTCTTTTGCAGGGGGTTCCTGAAGCCTGTCACATGGTGCGTGTAGTTATATACAGACACCTCTATTGACATTGTTCAAAGAAGCTAAAACATTGGTGCAACACTGCGTGAGTGTGGGCACAGAAACAAATAGAAACAAAAGGCAAGAAAAAAATTTAAATATACATACATACATATATAATGAATATTGATTGACTAATTGGATTAAAGCAAAAAATAAAGCGAAACACCGAAACAAACAAAAATAAATAAAAATAATAACAAGAGAAATATAGCTAATTAAAACCCCTAATTTAATAAATTATGGTAAGTAAATGAATATATATAAACAAGTCCTTTCTTCTCGAAGCTATCTTTACTAATTGATTCAGGAGTACCATGCTTAAAACTGTGTGAACAGAAAATGGATTAACAGAACTACTAGACTTAAACCAAAGTCAATAATAAATTACTATAACGCCAGAATGAAATATGTAATAATGCAAATGAAATAGAAAAGCTGAAAAAATGGGGAGATATATGAGACAGGAAGTAGTAGAAGAAGTGTGGGTTATTTTGGTAGTGGCATTGTTGGTATGTGACTATGTTATGTCAATGAAAATACATACATACCATCGCCTGTATAAAATATTGTCTTGTGTTACTATGGGCAGATTTTCTGAAATCGCAATTAAAGTGTGGAATTCAATTCCTCAAAAACGCAACGATTGATCATCTTCAAAGTCTCGGAGAAATTACTAGTTCAAGAAATTCTTAAACTATTTGATTTGTATTGTTTATTGTTAATTATTATTGACTTTATGCAGGATTTTCTTTAGCAAAATTTTGTCGTATGCTACGTTTTTCAACAATTTTGCAGCCACCTGGACCGTCATACGACAAAATGTGATGAATATTTGTACTAAATTAATGATACTTTTTACTCAATATCTCAGAAAATAAAGGAGATGCCCAAAAATGCATTCAATATTATGAAATGCGTGAGCTTGACAAGAATAAAAGGGCAAAAGGGCCTTTTACAGGGTTAAGTGTAACATCAAACACACTTTGGCAACATTTTTTTAAAGAAGAAACGAAATCACCATTATTTATATATGATTTTCCTGGCAAATTTTACAGCTGCTCACCCATGGGTTAAACCCAACACTGAAACCTATTTAGAGCAACGAAAATGCTCATTTATTTAGTCGATGATTGCAGCGAAGTACTAAAACTGTTTATAGCAATATAACTGACTTTTCCCTTGGCATTTTACATGCCTCAGCTGATGAAATGAAATGGAAGAAACAACATCGAAAATGTTGAGGCTGCATTTTGTTGATTGTTTTTACAGCATTATGGTGTATACTATGTATGCATGTATGTACATATTAGAGTCCTATCGATTGTTCGGCTTCGGCTTCGGTTTGCCGATTAATCGGCAATATTTTAATATTCGGCTGAATGCTCGCCTTCGGCAAAAAAAAAACTACCGAAGCTTTCGCCGAAGCCGGACCTTTTTGGTTATCTGGACTAGTACATTTGTGCAGATTCGGAAATTCTCTTATTGAGCTGAACTCAAATTTCTAAACAATACCACTCTGTGACTGCCTAAATATACAAATGTACAAATCGTTTGATCTTCGCTTTAGAGGTGGTAATATTTTTCAATATTGGAATACTAGATCCCTAGAGTTACTTAAAGCAGTTGCTGAATATTATCTTTCTGCTCCACCCACCAGTGGTAACAGGACAAACTCACTTGGCGAGAACGCAATTTAATTGGTGAATTTAAGTGACAACTAAACTAAAAAAAAAACTAAAAAAAACATCAGGGCGGTCGCTGTGGATGACTCGTTAGAGAAGTTCGGAAGCAGCGTAGAACTGTAAGTCCCTCCATTTGTTTTACAACATTAAGACGCACACCAAAAATTAGGGGAGAAGCTCGGCCAAACACTTAACAAAAGTGTAAGCGCCAAAATATTATTAAAGTTCATATAAACAAATTTGTTTGCTACATAACAATTACTTTTTACAGAAACTGAACTGTGCTACAATTATGTGTTTGTTAATGCATACACAAGAGATAAAAACGTTTCTATGTATTTTGTATATTATGTACACCTCAATTGGCAACATGGAGCTTATTCTTTGAAAAAACCCGATTTAATTAGTTTAAAAGTCGGCCGAATGTTAGATCAAAACCGAACGTTCGGTTCTACCTTCGGTCGGACCCTAGTACATATGTATGTGTAGTATATTCCCTGCAGGGCAATCCCGAACTATAGTGAACCAAATTTCTAGTTACGTAATAATAGGTCTTCATCGCCAAAAGTTCAAAAGCAGCGAATACTTTTACTTTTTAAAACTAATTAAAAACACATTTTTTACAATAATTTAAACAAAAAGACTCGGTTTGGAAAAATCATGTTACTTTTTTCGCTTGTCGATTTTAGAACTGGTTCGAAACTATCGAAAAAGGGATGCAGCGGGGAGTCGTTAGCACTTTGTAGGACATCGCAATGTTAAATTCGCCAGATGCTGGCAAGCAAAAGAGTATTAATGCGCATTAGTCGTGGGTCTAAATTCATTAGTACGGAACCGGTTCGGCAGTAGTGCATTCCCTCACAGGGTGCTAATATGCATACACGCATACACAGAAACGTATGAACACCACCTGCAAATGCGCGCAGGTCAGCAATATCATAAAGAATTGCACAAATTCGATTAAATGCATTTGCCCATGCATGTACATAAGTTTCAAAATAGCAAAAGCCATGGGAGAGTGCATACTTGTCTGAGGTAAGAGAAAGGAATATAACAGCAAAGTATTAAAAATATAAGCTAATATTTCGTGTTTCATATATATGTATTTCAATTTGGCCTCTGCTACAAAATTGCGCTTTTCAGAAAGCATACAAGTTTACAATGGCATTGTTGCACGTGTATATGCGTATGTATGTGTGCTGTTTTTAATATTCATGACTACAACCAGCAATAATCATTTTTCCAACATACACATCCGTATAGTACGAGTAAAAAAGCAATAGCAGCTGCCTATCAACCTAGCTTTTCCCGCAACGCTGATCACTCACATTGATTACAACAACAACAAAAGCCACAACATTACAACTAAAATCCATCATAACGGCCACAAATGCCAGTATTAATCTCGCATAATGCTATTATTTTTCAATTTTTTTCGCCTGTATTTCACAATCCAACCGTGATTATACTTTGGCCACAGAGGATTTCATAAATGTCACCAAAACGCGAACCAGCATCGATGGGTTGGCCCGTTGCTGCAAATGCACACACATACGACGAAGCGCCATAGAAGCGAGCGAGGGGTGCGCTAAGCAGCTGAGTCAGCATAAATCACCGCAAATCATATTCCGCTTGCATATCGCTGCCGTCATTCCTCCGCAATGTCACACATCATTTCCAGTAGTGTTGCGGCAAGATTTTTCACTTTCCCTTCCCAACCTCTAATTTTTTAGCCGCTAGCTACGAGTACTAACAAAATGCAAATACAATTTTTGTGTTTTACATGGCCCACCGCACATTTCATTTGCTGCATTTTATGCTATAAGTATTTAGGTATTCCTCTGTTGGCGAGTTCTATTACGATTGAGTGCACATTTGAATATCACAAAATGACAAATACTTGAAATTATAAATGAAAATACATAAATGCACCCACTGGCACATATTATCTGCTGGATTTGCCATTTAGAGACGAAATGGACGACAGTCATTGCCCAACGTGTCGGTCGTATTTATGTAGTTAGTTGTGTAGCTGTGGGCCATGCTCGGCTGAGGAAGCCACAATGCTTTTGCTACTAGCATTACTCGGATTCTGCAGAAGCATTCATGGCCTTAGCTTTGTACTTTTGCTTTAGCTGTCCCTCTCAGTTTCATTTTAGTTATTTTTTGTATTGTTTCAACTCCGGTGCAGACATGCGAAGCTTATGAAATGGCCTTAGATTTTTAATTTGTTTCATTTCCAGTTTTTACATATCCATATGAGTGTATGTTATTGCAAAAAAACGATAGATTCCTAATGTTTTTTTTGTCGAAATGAATTCTTTATAGTTTTAGTATTTACATATGTTATAGTTCACAAAATTTCTAAAATATGTTTTATAACAAATTTATTCTGCCACGCCTTACTGTGGGTTCGTCTAATAAAATGGAAATATGAAAATCATTTATGCGATTAGGTGTAAGGTTAGGTATGAAATAAATATATTTAATGCATTTGATAAATGTTTCTAAATCAAATATTTCTTAAAAACCTTTCGTTTCATATCGAAATTGTAATATATAATTTATCTTATTAATTATCTTATCAATTCTCTTTAATTAATTTTAATTAATCAAAATTGTTTTAAGTTGGTGGCAACTCCTTACATTTTTGTATTTTCAACCATTCAGAGCTCATAACTAACATAGATCTGTCTACAGAAGGCCAGAAATTAATTTTTAGTCCTACTTCTTTAAATATTCCACTTTTCTATCTTTTAATAGAATAAATGGATTTTCTAAACCATAGGAGGTCTACCTCTACATATGTAGTGATCAGTGCGGCATCATGCCCTGTATTTCCTCCGACACTTCCTCTAAAACACTCTCACAGACAAAAAAAATTATTTAGCTTGTAATTTCTTGGAATAACCTGGTGGACAAAGAGTTCGTGCAAATATACGCGTCTAGATAATTTTATCTGGGGTTATGGGGATTCTGAGAACAAACCATTACCTTTGTACACCTTGGAATACAACACTGTGCAAATCTATGCTGAGATACGGCCACCGCAGCTTAAAAAGTTATCGAAACTGGAATTCACGAATGGAGTGAGCTTAAAAAACCGTAAACTTGATCATCAAATAAACCAAATTTGTACTTTTGTGTAAGAGTATCTGGACAAAACGAGTCGACGATTAGATCCTTAAAAATCTCTGACGCCTCTAACTACTACGAGCCAAACCTTAGTGTAGCACTCGCGTAGTTAGCTAAATTTTAATACGTCCAGCTTGCCTATTGTCATCTAGTCAAAAGAGATGTGTCACCTTTTATGCAATTATCGAACTGCCGTCGCAATCGATAAACAACAGCAAGCGTACAATTATACTAGCGCAAAAAATAAGTTTCTTAGA